TATCACATTTATTTCTGATAATTTTACAGTATCTAAAGTTTTCTAACAATAGACAAGAAAAATAAATAAATTTATTTCTAAGATTTTACAGCATTCCCATAGATAAAATATTACAATTTTATTAAAAAGATATTTTTCAGAATAATGAGGTCGCTTGCGCATAAAATCTATCGCACCTAAAATTTATAATAATAAGCAGAAGTAATTATTTCATTTCATTTTTAAAAAGAACGGACTATTTTTCAAGATAATGAAGTCACTTACCTAAAATATTTGAGAAGGAGCTTCTGATAAAAATTCGGCTAGAGGGAGGAGCTCACTGTGTTTGTAAGAGGGAGAATGAGAAAGGAGTTGTTACGCGACGTCTTACCTTTCGTCCTAATTAATTTCTTTAAAATGCCTCCATCATGTGTATGAGGCGTCGCGTAATTGACCACTTTTAACACCTGAAAACCACGTCCACTAAAGGACGTGGCAAGGCTGCAAAAGCTTAAACCAAATGAAGGTAAAAGCTTTTGAAAATAGTGATGGTCCCTAAGGACCATCATGCTCATATGGACCATCACTTATTAAAAGTTTCTTTTCTTTTTCTTTTTTTTTTCTTTTTTTTTCTTTTTTTTTGGAATTTTAGGATTATTACAGCCACATACCAATAAAGCTGAAAGGCAAGTTCTATATGACAGTTGTGAGATCAGCTTTGCTTTATGAGGTGGAATTTTGGGTGGTCAAGAAACAACATATGCATAGAATGAGTGTAGCTGAGATTAGGATGCTGAGATGAATTAGTGGCAAGAAAAGAAGGGATAGAATTCAAAATGAATTCGTTCGGGAGAATTTTGGTGTGGCAACAATAGGCGATAAGATGAGAGAAAGTAGACTTACGTGGGCTGGCCATGTGGCGCAGATCCAGTACAACACCTGTTTGGAGGTGCGAGTTAGTTCAAGTGGAAGGCTCAAAAAAAGTAAGAGGTAGACCGAAACGGACATGGTTGGAATAGTGAGAAAAGATAAGGTGACTTATGGCCTCACTGAGGGTATGACCATTAATAGAGCAGAATAGCAGACCAAGATTCGTATAGCTAACCCCAATTAGTTGGGAAAAGGCTCTGACGATGATGATGATGGTGGTAAGAAGAAAGTCTCGACCCACCAACTTGGTAAAAATATCAGGAAGTAGAGTTTCAGTCCCGATAATATGATTCTTGCTACCACTTTTTCCTTGGTAAAATTACGATCAACCTCAATGTGCTTTGTCCTCTCTTGGAAGACAACATTAGTGGTGATGAAGATAGCAGCATGGTTGTCACATTGCATAGGAAAAGGTGATGTGATGTGGATTCTCATGTAAGTTAGGAGAGCTCCTAGCCATAAAAGCTCACATATAATAGATGTTATAGCTCGATATTCTGCTTCTGCATTACATTGTAGAACTCTGCTTTTTTGCTTCACCAAGTAACCAAATTTCCCCCCAACATGGTGCAATAGCTGGCAGTTTGATTGGTGATCAACTGGGAAATCCGCCAATCAACATATGTGTAGCCACATAGATCAAGATAAGGATTATGCATGAATAAAAGATCAAGATAAGGATTACCCTGCAGATTGCGTAGATGATATCAAGGCGTGTAATGGTCAAATAAATTAGGTGATACAACCAGCCTCTGGAGAATTCCCACATCACCAAGTACCTCTTCACCAAGGGTTGGAGGCACTGCCTCTCACTCTTCTAATTCCGGTATCGAGATCATGACACTACCTTGTCCCTGAACTTCAAGAATAGAATTCTTTTGGAGACAACTACTTTTCAATAATGGCCACAAGCCTTGATACATAGTGGTTCTTCTTCTTGCGTCATAGAACTTATACCCGTTCTAAGTAAGATAATGAGCCAAGTAAACATGCTTCACTAGTTTGATTCCAATTTGTCCCTAGCTATTAATGAAACATTTATATCAAAAGACATGCTTTGAGACAAATTGTGTGCTTTCCCAGTTATTTTCTGAATAGTACTACAGTGACCAAGAATCCGTGTGGGTAATTTGTTTATAACATCAAGTGTCACAAGAGAAAAATAAACTATTTAAGTTAAGGATAAGTAAAATGCAATGCTCACGAGGATGGTCAAAGTTGTAGTCATGAACTTGACGTAATTGCTCATCACTCAATATGCGATAAAAAGAATCCTGCAAAGCATATGAACTTCTGAAATGTGAGAATGGTGGAGATCTGCATTCCAGGTCAACATGAACTGAAAACTGAAAGGCACTGCTTTTAACAAGTACACAGCAAAAAAGGGGAAAAGGAGAATACATCTACATGCATTTTACTGTTTCCAGACTATTTGTTTTTAGAAACAAAATAAACCCATATAATTCACCTAAAAGAAGGAGTAGAAGACCATCAGCAGAACAAAGAATAGTCTTGCAATACAAATATCGATTATATAAGAGCAGGAAGATAAATTAAAGAGGAAGGGTCTATTAGCCATGTTTCAGGAATCCATATACTTTTTATTGCAATATCTGTATTTAGGTCCCATAATCAAACTCCAATGCCATGTTATAGTGTTGCGTATGTAACTGAGTTAATAAGTTCTTTTGGGTAGGTCAATAGTGGGATTCAAATTTGGAATGTAATGTTGGAAAACTGTCAACACCTTACCAATCAAGCTCATATCTGAATCCAGCAAATCAGTGACATGTAATTACCAAACAAGTTATAGTAATTGCCCAATCAGTTTAAAGATGAAAAACCTAATGAACACACTTCAGCATGTACAAATTATTGTACAGCTCCATATGAAAATCGAATAAAGAAAGATCAAAATGTGCATCCAAATATAAACATATTTTATATTCATAAGAAAAGCACACAACCACCACAAGCATGAATAGCACATGGGGAGTGGAGTTTGATGTCCATCCATCCAAAATATGATGCATATCAATACCCTCAAAATAATTCACAAGATTATAGAAGTCAAATAGTCAACTAATTACATTAGTTTGGAAACAATGCATGAGGCATTTAGCTTCGCCTATAAGAAAACAATATGTGTGACATTTAAAAGTTCAAGAAAAAAATTTTACTTGATTAATAAGGACAACTCTTTGATCCCTCAGCTGTGCAATTATCATGTCACAAACAGTGGTCTTTCCTGAAGCTGTACCACCCGCAACACCTGGACATAATTAACTATAGTTTAACAGGTGAAATTGACGACTTGAACAGAACTTATTTAGCTCATAGCGAAATAAATGGAAACTGACAGCAGTTCACTGTAGAAGATGGATAAAACAGTATCGCTACAATTAAAAACCATACTTTCAGATAAGCTTAATAAATATCATGTTTCCACAACAAGTTTCAGTACTGAGTGTGACGCAGTAAATATATGCCGTTGGCTAAATAACCCTACTGGCATACATAGTCCTATCTATGAACAATATGATAGTCTTCCAAATGGAATAGATCTGGAGATTTCCTTGCATTTCCTCAGTTTAACATGTAGCTCAGAAGGCCTTCTACTGTTTTCTCACTCTTCATCAAAAAATCTACTCATCCAAAATTTGAAATACACATCTATATTAAATGTTTCCCTGAGAGAAATCACAGTTTCTTTCTCAAACTCTCAATGCATTTTTTTGGTATTCCATGTTCTTACCTATAAATGCATGTAAAAGTGACATATATGACAAAACATTGTAAATATCAATTTGTAGCCCTCAGTAAAAATAAAAAGATTTTTTATCTCCAAAAAGATAATTGATACAAGGAGACTGGACAAAATAGTTCGAAACACATAACCACTTATAAGAAAATGAGAACTCATCTTAGGTTGTAGTTAAGAATGCAAAGACTACCTTAAGAGAAGATCTATAATAAACTCTACAGACTACAAAGAACAAACCTTCAAAATTACAAGGTAAAATGGTACTAAACCAGATTTCATTACAATGACATCCATCATTGAGTAAATTACCGATAATATAAAATCAAGCCCAAGAATTTTTCTGTACTTTCCATATTTGAGTGCAGAGATTTAATAGAAATGCCAAGCTGCCACAATATGTAATTAAGTATGCAATGAAATGAAACAAGCATTTACCTATGACAAATGGTTGTTTATGAGATGTTTCAGCTTCTGAGACTTGGTGCTGCTCTATAACCTCGTTTATTGGCTCAATCTTTCCATTAATTCCCAGACAGATCGCCATTGGATTTCCATTGCAATCAGAATCCATAAGGTCCAATGCTGCAGTAGCAATGAAAATGGATTGAGGAGATGAACTCAGTATAGAGGGTATTCAGAAGGCAATGCGTGACAAGCAAAAAGGAGTTTGCCATCTCAGCCTTTCTCTGATGACAGTAATTTTACAATACTTAAGGGAATCACTGAGCCTTTAGCAAATAATCCCTTAATTGTTATGTTGATTAAAACCATTGGTGAAGAAGTCAAGTAATTTCTCAAGAAAATGACCCCAACGGGTTGGTGAAAAATCTTTTATCGAACTACAGCTACAGAAGTTACCATCCCATTCACTTCAAAGAAAAATTGCATAAGATCTGGATGTGGTATACAATAATTCAAAGCTCAACTCTAATAATCACTTTCAAGTGGGACTCCGGACATATCAAATTACAAGGTTTGAATGAAAGATACTTATTGAATTAAACATGTATGTCATTACATCAGTGAAGTACTTCTACCCCTTTGAAATGTTCAAAAGAAACTTCAGGGTTTCTCAACATGCCTTGGGCTGCTTCAACAATTTTTACCAGCAAGTTTCACAATGTCAAAATCGATTATGTATTTTCTTTTACAACTTGAATAAAACACACTTTGGTGGCCCTGCAAATCTTTTATGCAAATTGAGAATTCCCCTTGTGTTACACATTCAATTAAGACAAATAACAGAAGACTCAAGAACCCCGTCATTCGGATCGTAATCCGACAACATGCAATCTTGCATGACATCAGTAGGCCCTTAGATGAAAAAAAAAAACAAAAAGGCAGGTGAACAACGATAGTCTTGCTTTAAAGGTTTTTAAAAATTATCAAAAAGTGGAAAGTTGCATCATTACCCAAAAAATGAGATCAAAATTCCCCAAGATGCATTAGGTTATCCTCCATAACTGGCTCTAAAAAATTATCATAGCTATTGGGACAAAGAAGACAAACCTTTTGTAAAAAACAATTTCCATTACGGAAACGAATACGTCATCTGACATAACTGCTCATATAGGAGCATCGAGCTCATCTCGAGCATTACCAGGAGAATAAACATAAAACAAACACCAAAACACAAATAAGGTGGTAAAAATCTTCTCATATCATCTTATTTATTGTCAAAGAAATTAGGAACACCAGACCGTCCATTAAAATCGAGGGAACTCCAATGTATAGCAAATATTGCACTTACATCAATAGATTTAGCAATGAAAACAACATAATTAAATTCAAGCCCCAATTTAATCAATCAACCCATCAATGTCAAGCCAAACGTTCATAGTATATGCAAATCACACTCAGATGTAGTGAAATCTCATATAAATAAAGGCATTCGAGCTCATCCTGTGATCAATTAGTCCTTCGGGTCTATAGAAGCACCAAAACGGCAAGAATAGATTGTAGAAGCCATTAATGGAAAAGGCAAAGTCAGGATAGGAGAGAGAGAAAGTACCAGGCTTATAACAGAGGAAGAACGCAGATTGCTCAGGAGTCCACGGAAAATGCACGCGCAGACGTTTCCTTTTAAGGCACAGTTAAGACCTTGTCTAAAGAGAGAGAAAGATAAAGCCCGGTTTTCAGAGAGGAAGAGACTACTTCAGAGAGAGAGGGGAAAAAGCGCAGTAGAGAGAGAGAGAGAGAGAGGAGGGGAGAGCTAAGAGCAATGTTTAGAGAGAGAGAGTCCTGTTGCGCGAGAAGCGGGAATAAGAGAAGGGAGGGGTGAGAGACGCGTAGCCGTGGCAAGTATTTGAATGCGTTTGTCCGATTGCCTGGAATGCGTTTGTCTGGGTCCCGCACAGTGACTTGCCCTTTTTGTTCTCCTCCGAAGGAGGTAGGATATTTTTGGTGCGTCCGCAGATGCATGTTTTCGAATGCCGTTCCTTACGGCTAAATTTTGAGCTGTAAAATAATGGATGAATGGTGACTACGTTCTTGGTACTCAATGTGTCGTACGTTATTGGTACTCATCCCGTATTTATAAAAAAAAAAAATGTACAGTGCGTTTATTTATCTTTGGTACAAGGTGATCACAATTAATCTTAACATTTGGATATTAAGTTAGATGGTTCAATTTATTTCATTGATCAAGCTCAAAGTTCAAAAAAAAAATTTCGAATTTTGTGACACACAAAAAGTATCATATTTCACATCAGATGATTGTATGTAATTATAACCTCCTTATACCAAAAAGAATGGTCTCATTGTATGAGATCCCCAATAAAAAATGCTAAATAATTTATTTATATTTGTACCCAAAACTTTCCTTAGGAAAAAGCACATACTACCACTTTAGAAATAGTTATATTTTTTATACATAAATAATATGTTAGAAAAACAAGAAAGAAAGCAGTATGAGATACTTAACTTATCTATAATAAATGTTAAGGAATACTTTTCCATAACTAACAAAGAGATAAATAAGAAAAGATAGCTGAACATCAATATATTTCTAAAAAAAATGACAAATTTACAAACATATGCAACTCCATTGAGCTTTGAGCTCTTATTTAATTGTCTCTTTCCTTTTCTCTACTTCACTCTTTTCGCTCTGGCCCTAAAGAAGATGTATGTATAGATGCTTATGATTTCTGGACCTATTTTAGATCCTATTCGATGAGTTATAGTGGATCTATCTAGAGCTGATGGAGCTTTACAAATATTTTGTTTTTTGAATGTTGACCCCAAAATCATATAACAATAATAGAAAATAGATCATAATTTTGATGGCAATGTTAGAGGCAATGGACTGGTTGCTAGTTTTAGGGGCTTACTAAGGGACTCTACGGGGGCTACTATCTGGTCCTATTAGGGCAACCTGCATCCTTGCTTGGCTAATGAAACGGAGTTTTGGGCCCTTTTCTTTGAGGTCTCTAAGTTGGGGATGTTTTTCAGCAGATTATCATTGAAGGGGATTCTCTTAACATGATCAGGTGATGTCGGTTCCCTGGTAGTACTCCCCGGAGATGGATGCAAATTTGTGATCGCATTACCTCTGCCTTGGTGACCTGAAAGAAAGACTAATGAGATATTGCTGGGGAATTTTTTTTTTTTTTTTTTTTTCTTTTCACCTCTTTTTTTTTTTTTCTTTTGACAAAGATCACAACAAATAGTTTTACTACAATAATTCTTGCTTCACATAAAATAAAACTAACAAATCCAAGATATTAAAAACCTTGATGCCACTTCTTATGCTTGAGAATATAAAAATTAAATTGTAAGAAAAAAAAAATGGATAGTATCGAATATTACCTCAATCGATCTTATTACATCCCATACTGAGTCACCATCATCTGATGGCGCAGGATCAACGATCAACCTTCAATCTCAATCGGGAAAGCAAGTTTAAACCAAGCCATATCAATAGAACATGAATCCCTTTGATCACAAACTGAAATCCTAGGTGAATTCCTTTAGCAACCTAATTTGAGAGAGATGGATTCTTTTTTTGCTATACCCTAAAACCCTTAGATATAAATCCATAGTTCAGAGATGAGAGAGAGAAAAACCCCATAGCCTAAACCCTTAACCCTTTTTTACGATGTGGGAGAGAGAGATCAAATATGAGAGAGTGGGATGTGCTCCCTTTGGGTTTTCATGAGAGAGATAAACTTTCTTAGGAGAGAGATAGAAAGATAAGATGTGTAGAGATTTTGGGTAAAGACAATCATTTTTTTATAGCCTTTGAACAAGATTTAGGGTTTCTTAGTGTTTTCCTTAACTTGCCTCTTCTTGTGAAATTGAATATGCATCATTGATCTTGGGTGACTTGTGGCGTGAGAGATTTGAGTCATTTATTTCATAGATGAGCCATCAACATTAACATTATGGAAGGTGCATGAACATTTATCCCCCTTTTTTCAACCATTTTCCCATAAATAGAAATTAAATAAATTAAATCTAATCAAAATATTGTGCATACCATAAAATAGCACAAGTCAACTCAATCTTTCCACAAAATCTTTTTAAGATATATCCAGTCAATAGCTTTCAACCATATGGCAACATGTCATATCCCAAAACAATAGGAAAGAGAATAAAGAGTGGGGCATGCCACCCAATGAAGGGATTCATGGGGCTCAACTTTTAGAAATATGGTGGCCCATGTGCACAATGGGCCCCCATGGAATTTTCATATATATAAAACTAATAAAAAAAATTTAGAATATTATTTGAATATTTAAACTATTGTAAAATTTATATCTTTAATTTTATAAATAAAAAAATTATAAATAAAATATCTAGGGGTTCATAAAAATTGAAATAATAATTCTAAAATAATTTCTATCATAAAACAAACACACTTAAATTAATTTGTTGGAAAAATAATACATATGATTTAGGAATTGAATCAACAATCATGAGGCACTCCACTTTCAACTGTGGATTACATACCACACTTGCTTTATCAAATCGACCCAATATTTTTCATGACCCATAATCCAAGTAAGGGCTCATTAGCGGGTCACCAAAGTCTGGCCGATGAGCCAAGAGGTCGCAATCCCAATCTGTGTATTATAGGTCCTCCCCTAGAGGCAAGTCAATGTCACATAGACCTGAGGCCACCACAGCTCCTATGGTGCATAGGGGTATTTATCGCACAGGCATACGCTTCACCCTGAAAGGTGAATTGCTTCTCGAAACGATCTATCGATATGTATGCCGTGTGATGGTACATGGATGAGGCTTTGACCCCATCTTTGTAGGCTATCATCACACACAAGGGTCATACAATCCATCGGCTCACTCATCCGGGCATACTCCGATCTTATCAAGGGGTGACCCATTAAAACCCATATCGATTGATATTCTATGGAGTCACATCCAATATTAACAATGACAATGGGTTACATCTCAAGCCCCTTATTATTTGTTGACATTGTAATGTTGTCAAGTTTCAATTTGTTGTGGAGGAGATTCAATGAAGTTGAATGGCCCAATTACTTTGAATGAGCTTTATGAATTATTTTACCCATTCATTATGTATTACAAGCCAATTCAAGTCAAATGTTCGAGGATATAATGCTACATTCCAATTTACTATATTTGTCACTGGGAATAACAAAGTAAGTTCTCAAAGGAGAAGCAGCATCTATAATTTTAAAGTGACAAGGCATATCAATCATTGCCTTTTATCTCTAATTCCAAGTGCACACACTCTAAGGTTCTTAAAGTTGTATCTTTATGATGAGAATGAAGTTGGCTATCATCTCAAACATTACAATATGCTAAACCCTGTATTGATTAAACTCCTTATATATATTTTGCATAAATATAATACCTATGTCTTAGTTCTAAGGAGCATGATTCATTACTATGATTTAAGACCATATCGATTACTTATCAATATTGATCCAATAGTAGTTCAAAGAATTTACAATGAACCTATTGTATAACAAGTTGCTACAGTTTGGATATTAGATTGATAATGAAGCACAAATTCAAGGTAAGAATATTGTTGTCCAATGGCAACCTGGAGATTATGATTAAAGTATCACAAAGATCATGTTGTTACGATCCATAGCAATATCCGTTGCTTTTTTCATGTGGTGAAACAGGATGGCATCCCAAGACACTCTAAAGAGAAAATGAATTTAACTCTAAAAAGGGATATGATGCTTATCATAAATTTTTATCCCATTGCAATGCCTCTTACAAAAATATTTGGTTGATATGTATGTAAAGATAAAGACATCACGCCTGCGATTTTTTAAAGAATGTACAGATATAAACATTAAGCTTGTGATTTTTTAAAGAATGTAAAGATAGAGACATTACACTTGCGACTTTTTGAAAAACCAACAAGAATTAAGGACTGAAGGTTATCAAGGCCTACAGGATGCTATTGTAGATGGAGAAGTCAGAGCAAACAAAGTCAGAAAATGAGTTATACTGCCAGCTTCATTTATTGGGGGTCCAAGAGATATGCAAGTACAGTATTTGGATGCAATGGTTTTATAATGACTCACAATCCTAATTGACCTGAAATCAAAGACCATTTCAACCCTGATGATGTAGCCTTCACTCGATCAAATCGAACTAGAAGAGTATTCATAGCAAAACTAAAGGACTTCAAAGAGTATGTCATACATGGTACTTTGTGTGGGAAAGCCATTGCCCATGTATATGTCATTGAGTTTCAAAATAAAGATTTGCTACATGCACATATGCTATTAATTATGGCAAGCAACAATAACATACGAATAGTTCAGCAAGTTGATGAAATCATTTTTGCAAGTTACCCGATAGAAAGAAAGACTTCATAGTATATGAACGAATAATAAAGCAAATGATACATGGCCCACATGAACCTGAGACGTATAAAACACAGTGTCATATCAATGGGGAATACATATTCCAGTGTGCATAATTTTTTTTAGAAATTACAATAATAACAGATGTCAACTACCTAATTTATAAAAGAACTGCAAAATGTGTGTTGCACATGGTGGACAACAATATCATTGATAATATATGGGTTGTTCCATATAAATATTAAAAATGTAAAAAGAAAGTGTATATTGTCTACCAAGTTAATATGAAAGGTATATATTGTAATCAGTATATATGAGAATGATAGATACTTGTATTTTATGGTAAGTCTAGGTATAACATAAGTGTATTATTGATGTCTATGATTTATTTCTAGTATTGTTATATGTATTTGTCCATTTAAGATAAGCTTGTATTTCCATATTGATCAATG